CTCAAATATCAAAAATATCCTACTGTATTATATCTTGTCAAAATGGATAGCCTGTCAAGCAGTCCTGCCGTAATTGAATGGCAAATCCCTGACACGATAACCGATGAGCTGATAATGCCTGCTCGTATCGCCTTTGAAAATTTTGTTGGCAAAGAATTACGACAAGGGCAGTATCCAGGAGTCAGCGAGACCAGTACATCACCAAATGGCTGCTATAATTCTGACAAGTCAAAAGGAAGTGTGCCGCTTACCATCAAATATGAAAAGAACTCCTGCTTACAAAGAACCAAAATCCGTGAAGCAATCGAATCATTACAGAAAGAAATTAACACAGCACAAGATACCCAGTTTCAGATTAAAGAAGGCATTGACTGGACTCGTTTACATAAACTGAGGGAGACTGCTACTTTTACTGTCATGTCTACTCGGCACTTAAGTGATCAAGAACGAAATGCTCTTGCGCTGGAGCTCATGTCCTTTAGAATCAAGTACTTCTTCCTATCTAAAGCTCAAGTAATGCTGAAACTAGAAGGCATAGAAATCGAAGTGCTCCGCAACTTATTGCATTGTTCAACAACGTACTTGCCCTTTGGGCAACGCCAGCAATCAACGCAATTTGTCCTTAGTCATGTTACTGCCATCGGCAGCAACTGGTACCGAATTGAGGTAAGGTATGCACCAATAGGCAGTATGCCCTTTATACCCCTTCAAATTGCAAAGAGTAGCATCACCTCACTCCTGGAAAATGAAGTTGCAGTCATTGACTCAGAGCTTGGATTTGCGCTCATCAACGCATTTTCAGCATCCAGATTTGAATTCCAAACAGTCGTAAATGAAGACAATACCAATGTCACAATGCTCACTTTTTGGATCCCTCATGATGTTAAGCAGAACTTCCCATGTTCTTTCTCAGTTAAGGACAAAAGAGGAACCAATATTGTTTGCACGATTGAGCATTGTGGAAACATACTGCCACAAACTAGTGCACCAGGTGAACCACCCAGACACGAGACCAAAGGAGAGCATTGGCGCAGAATTGGTGAAAAGTGTAATCCAAGCTTCAAAAACAGACTCACCGTCATTGCCCCTGTCAGCACCCAGAATGCTTCTCAGAAGCGACGATTCGGACTTCTTAAGGACTCAGCAGTTAACTTGCAGACTCAACAGGTATCATATACGTATTCTGAAGAGACCTACCCGTGGATTCTCTTCCTTGAATCTATTCCTGTAACCAATACACTGGACATCTATTTGACTCATTTCAGTCATTTTGAAGCAGTGAATAGTGCAAAAGGTGAATTCTGCAAGCAGAACTTTCTTAGGTTTGAGCAAGTGTCTAAATTTACCAGAATCATGATGTTTGAAATCCCGTCAGGAAGGCAATGTCAAATCAACCGAGTTGATGGCCTCGAAAGCTCATTATACCTGACCAAGGTTGATGCTTTACAAATATACCCCTTCAAAACTTGTTATCTTGTCATGCTTGTGCCTCCCCACTTTGACTTCAATACCATGCTAACTGCTGATACTAAAGTTGAAGCCGTTGCTGCATGGAAATTTAGTACATTCGACAACAACAGAACCAATTTGAAAACTACCGCGGTACTTTCGACAAGCTCCACACAGCACCAGCCGCTCGCGAAGGACAAACGAACCGACCAGGGTGCCAAACTGCCTACGACCCCGACTGCCCTCCCCAGCAGCAAGAAAGCAATTGACCAGCTTCCGGCTTACGCAGTTGTAGGAGTCACCCCCCCACCAACTCCGCCCTCCCAGCAGATCAATCCGTATCAAAACAGTCCCCCTCTCACCTCTGTTGCTGGGGCAAGCGTCCATGACACTGCGAAGTCAAATGCAGAGCGGTCAGGCAGCCAAGGTGAACTTAATGGTGACCAGCGTGCTAGCAACTTTCCAGAAGGGCAATTAACACATGGGGATGCACGCGCTCCCCCCCCCTACCGTCAGCCCAACCATCCCATGGACCAACCTACCTGCTAGTCACCCAACTGACACTGGTGAGCAACAGATTGCTGAAATGGTTGTTGATCAAGACCATCACGGAAATAATATACGCACGAATGAGGAGGACGATAAGGAGATGTTACCTCCCCAACCTGCACTTCTCTCCACACCCGTCAAGAAACCCCCTACACGTGAAGGAGAAGCTCTTAGCAGTCAGAAAACTTGCATCCAAGAGCTCAAACCTATTTGTGGCGAAGTGAAAGGTGGGCTTGCAAGCAAAGGCAGACTGTCTAATGAACCATCTGACCCTGTTATCACTCCGTCCTCCCCACCTAGTGTCTCCCCTTCCTCACAAAATGGCAATGCGAAACCTGCGTGCAGTGACCCCATTGTATCTACACTTCCACATCAATGTCAGTCTGTAGACCCTGCCTCTAAGGCCCCTATTAGAAATGATCCTTCGCCAGAAAAACAGCCATTGGTACCTGATGATCCTGTTGTCGTAGAAATCGGTAAAAATCCCCCTGGCATTACAACCCCCACAAGGACCAAGACTTCCCAAACCTCCTCCTTACATCAAGGAGAAGCACTGCCCCCTATCCAGGCTGCCCTTAAACGAAGTTCTGTCCTCCCGGCCAACGACAAAACGCGTGTGTGCATTGATATCACTGGGGAAGATGACCATACTGAGCAAAATGACCCCGCCCAGACATCCTTTGAACGTGAAACTCAAAGTCAGTCCCAACTAGCTCAGTTTGCCTCTCTCTCTCCTTTTGCTGAATCCAGCCGAAGATGGTTCCCGACCCTTGATGCTCCCGTTATTGCGGCCTTAGCTAATAAAGCCCAAGATATTGCGATTAACTGTGGTCACATGTCTAGCATGAATACTGCATTGTACCTCCTATCAAGAGGGCCGTGGATCCCAACACATGTTAGTATACATGTGCGACAGGCAGCCCTTGCAGCAGTTGGCGTAGGATGGAGTTGGGTCCATCAAGTACCCACGACCTTTCCCTTTACATGTTTTGATGCCTGCTTGTCCCTTGCGACACTTAGCACCATTCCCCCCAACGGCACTGCTCAAAACGATGCAGTAACGAAAGCTCCTTGGGGCTAATTCACAGTTTTCACCATATCTAAACCTTTGGTGTAACAACGCCTAACTTAATTTGGCTCAAGGCGTTTAAAAGGCGCCTTGCACCGCGATCTCGTGGTTATCAGCCGCAAAAGCGGCCTTTGTCCTCGCTGCTGAGCCATAGCGCTGTGCGCGGCTGGCAGCTTTCCTGTCTTTCTCTATTGCGGCTCTCTTGCTTGGCCTTGAACCTAGCCTGCATTTTGAGTTCGCTTCAACGGGGAAAGGCATTCTTGGATGCCCAGGGGTGAAAGAGGTGGGAAAAAGACCCGTACGTCCAAGAAGCTCACTGAACAAACCATAAGGGGCGAACACGTTCCCAAAACGGAACCTTCTTCTGCTGCTGGTTTAGAGCGACTTGACAGGGTTAGGGGCGAGGTAGCGACTAGAATAGCAGCCTCTAAGGCTAGTTCATCTTCTGTTGCTGCTGAGGAACCCGAATTCCCGGATTTTGACACCCTTGTTGATCCTGAGGAAATTCAAGTTCAGGTCACGATTGAGTCTTCTAGTGTTCGATCGTTTCCCCAGGCCGAAGGATCAAAGGCACCTTCATCCAAGTCAAAGTCACCTGTGTTGGAAGGTCCCCCAAAATCCAAGACACCACAAGAGACTACTCCTCAGACAGTTCCTGAAGTACCTAAAGCTAAGGAGTTAGTTTTGCCTAGGGCCACATCAGTTGTGAAACCAGCTGAACCACCAACAGCCTTCTTTGCAAAAGCTGCTGGGATCCCCAAAGCGGTTGTGGTTCCAAAGGCGGTTGCAATCCCAAAGACATTCCGTCCTGTGACTCACCCACCGGATTTGACTGTAGCTCCCAAGACACCTGAAAAGGCAAAGGGGAAGGCATTGTTGATTGTGTCTAATCCTGTTTTGAATCCAGCACCTGCCATTTACGAAGTCAGGGTCTCGGTTGATTTTAACGGTGTCCTCAACGTAGGTCAGGCCGGTGACGCGGAGTATAACGGGATTCATCCTCACAATTTGCCACCATTCGTCAGTTTCTCTTGGATAACGCTGTTCGTGGTTTTCGTCTTGGAGTTACGTCGTTCATTGGTACCACAGGGGCGAAGTCTCAGGAAAGACGGTTGCAACTTTTGAACGAAGTCCGAGTTTTCAACCAAGGAACTCAAGACCCACGGTTTCGATTGGGTTTGAAGATTGTCAATACACGTGATAAAGGTCAATTTCTGAACATTGCTGGAACCACGGTTCATATTGACGATCGGTTGGACTGTTTGGACAGTTGTGAAGCTAGTATCCATACTTTTTGGGTCACTGCTCGGGCCAGGTATCACCGAAAGCACCATATTTTGGCCTCACTAAGGGAAGCCCTTGATCAGGTTGCATCGGATCGCAGCATCCAAGCAACTCTGCAGCAGCGCCAATTTGGATCCCATTGGCAGATTCCCTTGTGAACCTTGGCTCAACCTACCTTGCGCCCGGCGCGGGGGGTTGTGTAGGGGTGATCTAGGGTCGGGGTACATCAATGGAGGAATCTTCAAGTACCAGTTTTGCCATTACATCGACTAGTTCGGGGGTCCCTGGAATGCCAAATCTTGGTTCGGGGGGTAGGGCTTCATCAGGTGATTCAACAAGTTCCCAGTCTAGGAAAACCCGCCAAAGGTCAACTTCCAGAGCAATTCACCCTTATCGACCCCCTAGGGAAAGGAGTAGGGCACCCATGTCAATGGGAGAAAGGGCTGTGGAAGAAAGGGAAATGGACCATTCACCAGAGTCGATGCCTCCGTTGGAGGACATGTCACACGTTCCTGTTCTCGCGTCAAGAGCTGGATACTCCCAGCAAAACATTTTCACTAGTTCTCAGGATGAATTCAGTCACCAAACTGCTTTTCATCAAACCTTCAATGACCAGAGAACTGTAAATGTTGATCAAAGGCAGGTTCACATGACACAACATCATGTCCATGGTCCGGATCCTAGCTTGATCGGCAACTTGGCGGCATCAGCTGCGACGTCAGCAGTGAGGGCAGAGGCCACGGAGGCCGTAGCGCAAGCCAGAGAGGTGGCACATGCCGTGGCGTCAGATCTTAGAGTGTCTCAAGCAAGGGAGTCCTTTATGGACTTGGAGCTTAGAAATTTGAGAGCTCAAGTTGAAGCACTGCGGCACGAGAACACTGAGTTGAGAAGCTCAAGAAATGCTGCTCTGGCTGCAGCGCCCGATTCCGCAAGCGGTCAAAACCCCAATAATGGCTCGGAGTTGGAACAAAGGGTTCGAGAGATGGAGTTGCATATTGTTTCGGGTATCACCCCCAGGATTGATTATTTGGAGCAAGTCGCTATGATGATGGGGAACATTGAATCCAGCATTAGCCAAAGGATTACTCCTCATTTGCAGAGCTTGGAAACCAGACTCTTACAAGTTCAACAGCAGTTGGATCACCATCAGACATTCATCCAAGAGTTGTGGGCAGGACAGCCGCAAGGGTCCGCGCAACCCAGGTTGCCGGTACCAGCTGCACCGGGAAACCCCTCTCAAACAGACAATGTCATGTCCCCAACTCAGTGTCATACCCCAATTCATTTTAGGATTGACACCCAAGATGATGGTAGTGATAATGATCAGGAGGGTCAATGGGAAATGCCAGACGCTATGAATGATTTGGAACGGAGGGCTTTAAGGACTAAAGACCTCCACCACCTCAAGCTACCCAACCTCCCAGAGACGGCTGCCCAATATCGAACTTGGCGAAACTCAGTCCGAACTGCAATTGTTGCATTTGACCAAAGCTTTGAAGGGTATCTTGGCCCATGGCTGTCAGAAGCCTTCACTGCGAGGGGGAAGGATTCACTGAAATTGGCGCAGGATAGTGGGTCGTTTCCTCGATTTGATCGCATCATTGCAAGTATTTTGTGTCGTCAGGAAACTTTAAAGACCAGCTTTGGCTTGAAAGTCCAGGCTTATGTCGAGAAATGTGAAGCCTCGGGGGAGAACATCCGGGGCCGATACATCTTGAACCTGATTGCCTCGGAGTACGATACTAATCATGCAACCTCCTCTATTACCACCAGTATCGAGTTATTTCAACTGCCCGCACCGCATGATACGTTTGCTGGACTTAAACTGTGGCATGACAAGGTGACGTACATTTTATCACAGTTGTCCACATCTCAACAACCGCCAGATGACATGTTGTCTCAATGGGCGTATGGGTCGTTGAAGAAACACAGCCTCATGCGGCGAGTCATTGATCGGTACTTGGAAGTTCCAGCTTTTCGTACGTTTGAGTACTTGTGGGAAGGGGTTGAATTGGCACTCAAAGAGTCCCAGTATGACACAAATGCGCAGAGTATTCGTGATGATTTGCGTAAAGGTCCTACCACTTCACCCAAGAAACCGGACACCAAGGCAATGCCAGCTAATCCCAAAGGGAAAGGCACTGGTACCAAAGGTGCAACCAAAGGCGACAAGAATCCCAAAGGGGATCCTAAGAACTCTAAGGAATCCAAAGGCAAAGCCAACAAAGCCGAAGGCCCTAAACCCAAAGCGGGATCACAAGGGAAGACCTCCAAAGAAGGGACTCCTCCACCTTGCATTTTCTTTGCGCGCGGAAAGTGCACCAGGACTAATTGTCCATTTGCCCATACCAATGCCCCAGCTCTGACATCTACTACTGAGGGATCAGCAGCAGCGCCAAAGGCGCAACCTAAGGCCAAGGCTATTGCAGCCGCAGTGGCACTTTTGGCAGGGGCAGATGCAGCTGCAGCTTCATCCATGGTTTCGGGTAATCAAGGATTCATTGAGTTCATTGGGGATACGGGGGCTGGGGAATGTCTTGGCTCTCCTGAAGCTCTTGCTCGTCAAGGTATTGTTTTGGATTCCCAGTTTTTTACTGACACCATCCATCCTTTGACTTTCAGCACAGGTGGAGGTACCCAGAAAGGACGACAAACTCTTGGATTTTGGAATGCGGAATTCAACCGGTTACATCAACTATATATGCTGCCGGCATGCCCCATGGCCTTATCCATCGGTCAGTTGTGTAATGAAGGTTTCGGTTTTGTCTGGCCACCTCATTCACTTCCCTTTTTGGTACCCCCGGAATCCACCTTGTCGTACTCTGTCCAAGGTTCCATGCTAGAAGCCCATCGTGTCACTCACAATGTTCCTACTTTCAGGTTCCCAGTTGAATTTGTTCCAGGAATGGCAGCTTCCGCATCTTCGGGGGGGGGGATTCGAGCCTTAGATGACCCCAAACCTGATGTGCCATTGGAAGCCGAAGACCCCGAAGAAGCATGGGCTGATGAAAGCATTCCACTCAACCCAGTCAACCACTTGATGACTCACCTGCCTAAAGATAGGAGATGTGAAGTTTGCGTCCAAGCAAAACTCTATGAAACACCCCACCGACGTAGGGAAAATCAAAGAGAAGCAATCCGAGATGCTAGGGATGTTGAAGAACCCAGTGAATACTTGGAAAAAGTTGCTTGTGACCATATCATCTTGAGGAATGAACCTGGTTTTAGAGGTGAATGCTACAGCTTTGTAATTGTTGACCGTTTCACGGGGTATGCAGGGATCTTTCCCTTGAAGTCCAAAACTGCAGATGAAGTTGAATCGTCCTTTCGCAAGTTTTGTGGGAGGAGAAGGCCAGGGATTGTAATAGTTGGGAGCGACCGCGCGCCAGAGATCTTGGCGGCTATCCGGGCACTTGGATTCAACTCCGAGCCCAGTGCTCCTCGGCAAGCAATTCATAACCCTTTTGCTGAAAGCTTCATCAGGACTCTGACGGGAATGACCGCATCGGTGTTGCTCCAAGCAGGGTTGAGTCATGAATATTGGCCGCTGGCCCATAAATACCTTGAATGGTCATATAGCATCACTGCTATTGCGAACAAAGAGAGTACCAAAACATGCTTTGAAAAAGTCCATGGATATGCATTTGAAGGATTCAAGGTTCCGTTTGGGGCTCTGGTTTGGATCAAATCTGAAGATCAGATGTCCTTTGAACCCAAAGGGGAAGGGGCTTTGTTCCTTGGGGCTGAAATCACGGATGGAATGAAATTCAAAGGTCTGTATCTTACTTGGCCACTTCAAAACTTTCTGGAAAAGAGTTTCAAACAAAAGGTGGTCAGAACCTTAGCTGTGCCTCCAGGTCCTTGGCGGTTTCCAGCCAAAATAGGCAAACCAATTGAAATCGAACAACCGGTTCAGCCAGGGTATCTTGGGGATAGCAAGGATTCCAATGTAGAACAAGATATTGACTGGTTCATTGCTGAAGTAGAAGGTCTTGGGGAAGAAATGAACAAGGCTTTTGGAGTAGACTCTGTCTACCCAGCGCCCGGCGCGGGGGATGGGGGGGCTTCAAAGGCCAAAGCGAGTGAAACCCTTGCTCCTGATTCGAAGAGTAAGGAATCTTCCTCCAAGCCCCGCAGCAGAGCAATCACCAAACTCAGGGTTGCAGTCCATGGTCCAACCAAGGGCTGTCAGGCCTGCAAAGAAGGCTTGTACTCCCACACCAAGGAGTGCCGTGAAAGATTCAATGCTCTTCTTGACGAACAGGAACCCAAAATAGTGGGTCACGGTGCTAAGGATCTGACTGAGGCACCTATTGACGGCGAAACCGAACCTTTGGTTGGGGGGGTGGAGCCAGCAGAACAAGTTGAAGTTTTGGAGGATGACCACGAAGACTCAAATGATGTAGCCGGTCTCATCAACATTGCTCATGGATCACAGATTTCCCGGGAATCACAAGAATTGGAAAAAGGAAAAGAGGTAGTAGCTGCCATCTTGATTGACGCGGCTGAAGAAGGTGAGGATGAGGAAAACCTTTCATTCAGGTATCAGGAAGTATGTTCCCAAACTCCGGTTACCAAACCCTCAAAAATGAAGCATCAAAAAGAATGGTTCGTTGAGTTTTGCTGCGCCTCATCCAGTTCTTGTTGTACGGTTGCCCAACAACTAAATGTTGACTATTTGGGTTTGTCCGAGGACTTGGGGATCTCTTGCATCATCAGGTGTTTGAGCAAGTTGAATATTGGTTTCATGAACGAATCCAAGAAGGGGACAAAATCCATTTATTCGGTTCCATTCCTTGCGGTCCATTTTCAAAACTTCAGAATCTAAATCTTGCAGTTCAGGGGGAGAAGTATCAGGACTACCTCCAAAATGAACGCAAGAAATCCATTTCACTAGTTGGAAAGTTCCATCATCTTTCTCATTTGGCAGTTTTGTCAGGTGGGAGCACTTCTTTTGAATGGCCTAAGGGTTGTTCCGGGTGGAAAGAACCAGTCATGTTGAAATATATTGCTGATTTCATCCTCTACGCCTCGTATCCTACTGGATGTGGGTTTGATTTAACCATCAAGGGCAAGAAGCCACTCAAAGAGTGGAGGGTTGTCACGACTTCTCGAAGGTTGGCAGTGGAACTCAACCGGTACACATGCCCACATACCAAAAATCACAAGCATGACCACCTTGAAGGAGGCGGATTGGCATCCGAATCGGGGTTTTATAATCTCAAAATGGCCACAGTCATAGTTTCTTCCTTGTGTTCTGAAACGGTGCTTAATGCTATCCCATCCATGCCCACGGTTGGGGGAGTTTTAGCACATGAGGAGAAAGGGCTGTGGATGGCCCAGCTTGTTTTGGCGTTGGTTCATAAGCCACTATCCAGAGAGGAGATCAACCGGAGCCCAGAAGCCAAAAGGAAACTGCAAGAAGAAGCAGCTGAGTTCCGGAAGATAGGGGTATGGGATGAAAACAAACTTTATGAGGTTGACACTCTCATTTCAGAAGCCCGGAAGAATCAACAAAAGATTCACATTGCGGAGATCATGGGTATTTGCCACATTAAAGGGGCAGAACTCCCGGAATCTCAGCAACAAATGAAAGCTAGGTTGGTGTTCAGGGGCGATGATTGTAAGGACGCTTTTGGGGATAAGGCCATTTACAAGGAAATGAAATCTTTACCAGCGACAGTTCATTCTATAAACATGGTCCTGTATCATGGAATGCGCCCCAACAACAAGGTTGAGATTTCAGATGCCACAAAGGCATATCTTCAGGCACCCTTAAACAGTGAAGTTCCTACATATGCGATCATTCCCAAAATCATATGGAAACCAGAATGGCATGGCAAGTACAGACGCGTTGCATCTCGATTGAACCGAGCAATATATGGTCATACCATCTCAGGTGACGCTTGGTTTGAGTACTTCGATCATATTCTGACCAAGAAAATGAAAGGGAAAAAGATTGAAGAATTTCCTAGCATTTGGCATTTCAAAGATTGGGACGTTTTAGTTGCTGCCTATGTCGATGATGTAATAGCATCAGGTCCCCGAAAAGGAGTCGACGCTTTCTGGAAGGTGATCAGGGGAGAAATCAAGTTTGACAAAGTTTGTGAACCCGGTCGCTATCTGGGAAGAGACCATGTCATCTTCGATTTGGGGAAAGGCAAGACTGTTTGTATGTCCATGGTTGACTACGCCAATTCTGCTGTTGAAATGTATGAGTCAGAATTCGGTCTTTTGAAACCTGTTGAAACTCCTTTCGTCAATGAATCTTTGTTATCCATTGAAGGGTATGAAGTAAAGGGTCATTTGGCGGGAAAAGCAGCAGCGCTGTTGATGAAATGTCTATGGTTAGCTAGGCTATCAAGACCAGACTTGTCGTATGCCATCGTGCACTTGGCAGGGTCAATTTCAAAGTGGAGTCGGAATCATGATGTGCAAATCAAACGCTTGTTGGGGTACATTAAATCCACTTGTCGGTTCGGTTTGTGGGGGGCAGTACCTCAAAGCCCAGAAATTCCAGTTCTCAGGTTGTATTGCGATGCGGACCTAGCTGGGGACATCATGACATGTAAAAGTCATTCTGGGATTTATTTGGTCTTAACTTCACCAGAAGGGGACTTCTTTCCTTTGTCATGGTGTTCAAAACGCCAGACTGCAGTTGCAAGATCAACCACGGAGGCTGAAATTGCATCGGTAAATGAAGGGGTCTTCTCAGAAGGGATTCCTTTCAAGCAGGTCTTGGAAATCTTGTGGAAGAGGCCAGTCAGCACTGAGTTAATGGAGGACAACAGTGCATGTGTGACGATTCTTCAGACAGGATATAGCCCAAAACTTCGGGCTATGTCTCGAACCCACAGAATTTCCATTGCTGCACTTAAGGAGGCATTGGATGCCAACCATTTCATCATCATTCCGACACCCACTAAGGACCAGTTAGCCGACATCTTTACTAAGGCCCTGAATAAGATTCAATTCCTTGAGATGCGCTCAAGGATTGGTGTCGCTCCGACTAAGGATCCGAAAGTGCCCACTGGTAAGTAGAACTGAACACTGCCCCCAGGGTCAACCCAGCGCTCCGCGCGGGTGACTCAGGAAAGCTGAGCGGGCGGCTGCTCAAGACTTGAAGCACATCTGCCGCTGGCGCTGCTGGGCATAGTGAGAGATCTTGTTTCACTTTTGGCATGCTCTATAGGCCCTTTAACTTCCATAACCTGTGCTATCAACCTGGCCGGTGAGCATACGGGATTGGCGCGGCCACAATCCCATTTGCTTGCGGAGTTGGCGGGTCTGTTGCAAGGTTTTGGGGGGGGACGAAAGCTCCTTGGGGCTAATTCACAGTTTTCACCATATCTAAACCTTTGGTGTAACAACGCCTAACTTAATTTGGCTCAAGGCGTTTAAAAGGCGCCTTGCACCGCGATCTCGTCTATATGAACTATACTCAATCATATGTGCCAATCTTAGTCAGAGTACTCGCAACTTCCTTTTCTCCAGATTTGTATTACAATGTCAGGCGTGCTTACAGTCTAGCGCAATACCAATTGACACCTTCACTGCCACAGTCAAGCCTGATACAGGTATAGATGAACTGTGTGACTCGCTAGTTCCAATCTGGAATACTAATGAATTGACAGAGTGTCAAGCTTGTTCATGTCTAGACACTGCCAATGCCAAGTGGAAATGTGACAAATTTGGCCCGTTGATTGTCGTCCAAATCAAAGTACCTCCAGGATGCTCCCTTCCGAAGCTTGAGGAAGAACGACTCCCGCTCGGGCACAAATTCATGTTCCAAGAAAGAGAGTATGAGATCCAGTGTCTCATAGCCACCACTAGGCTTGACTTTGACAGCCAGCTCATAGTCCTGCATACTAGTCAGCCTGGAATGATAAGTATGTATGACCATAACAATGGTATACGAGTAGCGGACTGTAAGTATGTCAGTGGGAAGCTCCTCATCAGTGGGCTTGTCATACTGCCAGTTAAGTCACCCAAAGCAATCCTAATGACAAAGCAACTTTCTGAAGCAGCAGGAGGAGGTGAAGTTGCACAGTATCGCAGAAGACAGTTAAAGGTTGTCAAAGGCTTTCTCAAAACGCCTCGTAAGCAGCAAAGAACGCGAACCTCGCAGCTCTCCCCCCCTTCATGCAAGAACAATGCGAAAACCAAGTCGAGCAAGAAGAGGGCGAAGGTGACCAGACATGGACCCCCTAAAGATAGTAAGAATGAAAATGCAGTTGAAGAAATTGACCCTGAAGGATTACCTAGGATTATCGCACATGCAACGTTGGCCAACGTTGGTGTTATCTCGATGTTTGATGGAGTCGGATCTGTTTATCACATCATTAAGAAAAAACTAGGTAAACCCCCTACTATCTTCATCGCAGCAGAAATTGATCCTGTCTTACGTCGGCTTGTTGCTGCCGAAATAGGGCTACGTGAAGACCAACAGTGGGCATATACGATTGAAGGGGTTGCTACCATCTACGTGAAAGATGTATGGGATCTTGTTGCCAGTGACTCTCTGATCCTTCGTCAAGCCAAGGCAATGTACCCTACGATCAAGTGGATTGTTGTTGCAGGATCTCCCTGTCAAGATCTTACTTATGCAGGGTACCTAAATGGATTGCTTGGGCTGACAGGTCAGCGAAGTATGCTCTTCTTTGTTGTTTACCTTGTAATCCTGCATCTTCAGAAGCTATTTGGACCAGAATCGGTCCGATATTTGACAGAGAATGCTGGAAGCATGCAAATTGTGCAAATTGACCGCAAACCTAAAGGCATGCAGCGCCTTGAACAGTCTGAACACTTCCAAATGTTTTTATACTGTCTTGGACTTCCTAGTAAGCAACCAACCAATCGGTGGGTATGGGACACTGGTCCCTATTATGGCATCCAGCGAAAAAGGGTATTTCTACGCAGTCACATGGACACAGAGAAACTGGCCAGTGTTCCGCTCGCATTTATCGATGAATGGGGCCCTCTAGTGACCTTGAACGGTGAAAACTTACCATTGGCTCCATTACTCCGAACAAGAGGGCTGGGTAGGGGGATGGGGTCCCCGATACCTAGGCCCTAAGAGGGAGCGTGGACCCGCGAGGGTCCCAAGGTTGTTGAGTGAGGGTAAGAGAGGGTACCCGTTGACCTCTCGACCTGGAACCATGAAAGGACATGGTTACGTCACACTCCCTAGCCGGCAGGTTGGTGCTGTCCTTGGTGACTCGGACGTGTCAACCTGTGCTGCGTGGTCGACGGGCCACAGCGCCATCCACTCCTTGGTGACTCGGAGGTCGTTCCCACCCTTCTATGTGGGTTCTCTTTGGGATGGTCAGGCAAGTTGGGTGAACCCCTGCGTGTGGACTCACTGAGTTCGGACTGCGGTTCGTTCCACTGTTGTTCATGCAAAGGGGGGTCAGGTACACTTCTTTGGTAGGTTGTTGACTTGGTAGTGGTTGTCTTTCGAATGTGGTCCCACGTCCTCCTTGGTGACTCGGAGGAAATGAATGGGTAACGGGGCCTAGCCCGCCACGATTGGATGTCACCACTGCTTCAACTTCCGATCCATTGTTTGTGTCCTGGCTAACGGTCAAAGTTCGTGTGAGGGTTGCTATGCTCCGCACGGATCAGACCGTCGGTTCCTCCGTGACGAATGCCAGGGTAGTCACGGTGTCTGGGGTAACCTGGACCTCCTTCGTGTGTTCCCATGCTTTCGGGTATGTGTCACATGGAGGGGTGGGATCGCTATCGACTGGGTCACCCAGCGGTGGAGGTTCTGGCAGAAGCACCTCGGCTTAATGTACAGTCAGGCCACAGTAAGGTCCTACACCAAGGATCGAGCTGTGCTGCGTTGGGACCACACCCTTAAAAGGGGGAGGTTATAAGGTGGACAAGAAACCAACCCACCGAAATACCTCATGTGGGAACCTTCGCAGGCCACATCGGACAAAGACATCAACGGTCTAGTGTTGCTTGCTTCTGCGGGTTGCCGCCTTTTTGGCGAGCGAATGCGCAGGGAGACCGTGTACGTCCTTTGTGGTGGAAAGGGTACCGCCCCAGGGTGCGCCCTACATGGGAGCCCAAAGGTACCAAGCGGTCAAACAATGGAGTCCTGAAGCTTTCCTGGACAGGGTACCAGCCCAGTGCACTCCTATGGGATTATTCCTTCTTTGGTGGGAGGAAATCTTTCATGTTGTTAACCCAAATGGCTGAGGGAGTTAGGGTCCCCGACCTGCCGTGGGCAAGTTTCATTCCTGCGCATTTTCTCTCCATATGGAAACGTTTCCTTAGTACTCTTCAAACGGACAGAGCGACCACATCCAAAAAAGATGAACTCATTGAGCAACTAGTGCCTATCTTTCATAACCCAAATATTGTGCTGCCAATGAGAATTCTGACTGTCCGAGAAGTACGCAAATTAGCAGGACTTGAGAATATCTTAACGACAGAAAGACATGGGCCCTCTCTTCTCACGGACAAAGTGATTCGAGACTTTTGTGGAAATAGCTTTCACCCATCTCTCATCAGTGCGGCTCTCGGTACGGATGATCAGCTACAACGGTGGGTTGAGGGAAGCAATGATGCGCAGCCGTACCACAAAGACCTACCGAGTATCCAAGAAGTCTATTCCAAATACCAAGACTTGCTGAAACTGGTTTTGGAACAAGCAGCTGCTCGAGGAGTTCAACTCAAAGATGACAAAGTTGACTTTGAAGCGAAATGGAGGTACTATACTCTTAATGACAGTGTCGAATCCGCTTGCCCTCCAGTAGTGCACCAGCCGACAGTTTTCGCCTTTTTACAAGGGTCCAAACCTCCGAAGTACCAAGGAACCCACAGCGAGGATAGACCCCCCTTTGGGGATAAAGAGCTGAGCAATATTATGACCCAAACTCGGATTGATTGGGTGCTAGAGTCCTCAAACACATATGAAAATGTTACCCTATCAGCACATATGCTGCACTTGGCTGTTAGAAATGGTCTTGGTTTTCATGCCGAAGCTCAAGAGATTAAAGCAAAGCATATTGAACTGTTGAAGGAATATACAGGTGCTGAACAACTTACTGCTATTAAACAACTTTTCGTTGTTTTCCAGATTGCAACGCTCAGTGTAAAGCACCAATTTCCCTATGGGTTTATCATTTGGGCACCAAAAATTATGCAACCTCCCCTTATCTATGTTGGAGTACAGCGACCTTGCCTGCTATTCCTATTGCTTTCTCATGAGCCTGATCAACCGTTTCGCTTTGGAACGGTCGCATTCGACTGCCGACAAAGTAAAGACCTTCTCATGCATGCCAACATGCCAAAGATATTAGCTGATGTGGTGCAAGTTTCTTATCATACATTTGCGACCTACCCTATACTTGCTCGAATTGACAACGGACAGCACTACATACATCTCAGTGAATTTGCGGCCTTACAGTGCCCTTTTTGTGCCTTGTGTTATTTGCACACACTTGGTGCCCCGCAGTGCTTTATGCACAACGCCTCGCCCGCCGGCACTGTCATCCATCTACTCGGTGGTCTGGATGGCACAGGTGGCTTAAGTATTATAGGGGTGTTAGCACGAGATGTCAGTGGTGCCATTCCACAATGGATCGCTATACATGTTGTAGACAATCACCAAGTTCAAACCCTTACAGAATCTATGTCCTTTGTTGCGTACAAAGTGGCTACCCCTGTTGTATGGTCACCAATGTGGTATCCGCAGTCATCGTCCATGCGACGAATGCCCAGGCAACTTGGAACTCAGCTCATACAATCGCATACACTGGACCCATCAGGAGAATATCTTATCTTTGCAAGTACGGAGGAGTGGAGCAGGCTGCTCTTCGCACTGGGAGAAGCCCCAACAGAGGGAGTTAACTGATCAGTGTTATTTGTAATGATGATGATCTTGCGGAACTTGCCTGCTCCGCTGCTCCGTACACTGCTCAAGATGCTCACGCGATGTGTCAAAACGACTTACCTATTCGAAACAGGGACTCAATGCCCGCCATATCTGTCAAAGATACGTGACCTATCAATATTGCCCCATATACTTCATGTCCGAACACCATGGTGGAAGTTAACCCTGCAACATGTTGCAACACTTTTCCATCAGGGTGTTGATGATTTTTATCAGCAACTTATGTGTGACTCACGAACATTACCTTCTCT